ATATGTGCAGTTTAATTATAAAAATCTTCCTTTATTATGTAACCCATGAACTGAAGAAGCCTATTTGAACACATATGTGTTTTTTAAGAGCAATGTTTATGCTTCGTGGTGCTTTCATTGCAGCTGCATGCATTTAGAGTCTTAGTGTTCAAATTGGCAGAAACAAGTTTGACCTTTTTATCATCGTCTGTATCCAAATTCAAATAGAACCACTAAATATGGTGAGTCCATATGTTCTGTTTCACTTGTAGTGTGTGTCTAAGTGAGCCACCCTCTCGTGCAGTTGGTTGATTTCCGCAGAGCTTCCTGGGTAAAATGCACACAGCTTAGCCAGTAAAATATGGTTGTCGGGGATCATCTGCAGCAGGTCAACTGAAAGCTCCCTGCGTGTGAAAAGAGGAAGTTTTCACAGTTTTAATCCCTTTTAGTGATCTGCAGATCATCAATCATTTTTGTGATTTAGCTCTAGAGTGATGCGTGGTAGTAGCAGGGTTGGTTTGGAGCTCTACCATGTTGAGGGGGTCATGTACTTCCTCGCCAACAGTTCAAGGCAATAAGCCGTGCTCTGACTGGCAGCCTCTCCCAGGACGAGTCCTACAAATGCAGCCAACTCCAGCTCGTTTCCGCGGATCAGGTTGACCATGGCCTCCTGGAGAACACAGCTCACATTTCAGAAACCACTGAATCCTCTAAGTGGAAGGAGTTTTAGGCTACATTCACACTGCAGATAATTTTTGCCCTGAAGTGACTCTGGGGAGATTCTTCCTCGCTGTGTGAACAGAACAAGTCCCATAGAATCGGCCTTTTTCCAATCTGATCTTGGCCACGTTTGTAGGTGGTTTCAAATACGATGCCGGACCGATCTTTTGGACAGCCAGGTGACCTATACTAGAATTAGTATGAGGATGATGCCACTCTGTACTGACAGCGCGGAACAAAAACAATGACAACAAACATGGAGGATAGCAAAGAGGGAGGTGGACAATGGAGGGATGATAAAATTCTGGAATTAATAATTATTTTGGCCGGTACAACGATCCAAAAGGAACATAAGGTGTCACACCGTGACAGGTCAATTGACTAAGAAGCTGCACCAACACATTTCTCCTCAAGCCCCTGTCCCACCTTGACGATTTAGACCAGCCTACGCCTGACGTATAAAAAATCTGGCAAAAACGCTGGCATAAGTTGGATAAGTTATGGGTACGTTTTGTATAAGTTATGAGCACGCTGAAGCACGCTGGCACATGTCAACATACGGCGAGAAATTTTGCGCATGCTTAAAACTTCCCGCCGTATGCCAGCGTGTGCTCATAAGTGGGGCATAAGTTAGAGGTAAGGTATCTGATCATTGACATACGTTAAGTATAAGTTACTCATAAGTCGTAGTGTTTAGCTTATCCAAAACCTATGAGCAACTCGTGCATAACTTATGCGTAACTTATCAAGAAATAATCTCCAACGTATATCAACATATCTGACGCTTTCAAGGCAACCGCTGAACGTGTTTCTAACTGACAGCTACTGTTTAATGGCGTATTGGCAGCGTTTTGGTATAAAAGGGGGTTCACAGGAGGAAACTCTCTGTACTCCTCCAGACTTCTTCCTCATCATAGGGTTAGCGGGAAGGTGAGTGTGATGTCTCCTATCCATCTGGAAACCTTCCGTTGAAGTAATTTTGGGAAGGGGCGAAAATACTGGTTAGCTGATTGGCCTATGTTGGTGATAGACAGGCCAAATAAACCAATCAGATCAACGAAGCATATGACGTACTACAGGGTTCCCGCGGGTCCTTAAAAAGTCTTAAAAGGCATTGAATTCTTCAAAATAAAATTAAGGCCTTAATT